GCAATATGAAAATAATTGAAGACAAAATGTGTTTTACTGAGAACACCTTCTCCCAACATTGGGACGGATTTCATGGAGCAGGTGGTCATTATAAAACAAACTTAAGTATGCTTGATTTTATTATAATGCATTAACAGTGATCGTTACCATGTTTGCGACCCAAATGCCTTAACATGGCATTGGACTGATACAGGACCAGGTCACCATCTTCAAATTTAGGCAACTGTCCAAAGAGCTAAAAAAATAAATAAAATTCAACCAGCATGTTAATGAAGGAATACAGTTTAAACTACATTAAACCGTGCATAGATTTACATTTATTAAAAAAACAAAAAAAAACACTAGAAGTTCTCTAACTCACACAGCTGCCTTTCAGATCACCCTTCATCCACTCCTCTATGGACACCACATTCTCCTTCAGCTGCTGCCCATTGTCCGCCAGCATCATCTTCAAGGCACCACATCTGCCTGTGAGATGCACATGACATGGGGTTAACAGCAATCTACAATCCTCTAAGTGTGTGATCACATGATGCATCAAAGACATTAGACACCATGACACTCAAGTCTGCAAACACTCAAGTTACGGCCAACAAAGGATTTTTTTTTTCCTTTTTCCCCCCACTGTGTGTGGGCTGAAGTTAACTGCCATTCCTCCCAATCTAGGGCAAATGCATTCAGACAAATGTCACATTTTGATTGGACAACCAAAAGCTGGCTGGCATGAGAGAACATGCAGGCTGCCAAAGATTAACAGCGGAGCGAAGAATATTCAACTTTTTATTCTCTGAACAGAGACGGTATTGTGCATCGTTTTACTAAAATAACAGACATATAGATATATTGTAAATACTAACCCAGCTAACAAGGAATGTTCTCAGAACATTCTTTAACGTTCTGGAAAGGTTCTCTCAAAGTCAAAGTTATGAACAAACATTCTTCCAGTAACGTTACTAGAACATTTGTGCAAAGTTATCTGGTCTATAATAACGTTCTCAAAACATTAGCACAAAAACATATTTATACGTTGCTCATGGAACATTTTATATTTTAAACATTTTAGTTTGACATTCATCTAACATTTTTTTAAAATGTCAATACTTGTTTCAGAATGTCCAAATAACATTCAAATATAGTGTTCACATAACATTTAGTAAATTATAAAATGGGAACTTGCCTTACATTTTAACTACTAAAACATTTTTTTTTTAAACTGGAGGTTTTGATATACTATGTGTATTATGAAATAATTCTGAAATAACTTAATAGGAATGTTAGCAAAACTAGAATACAAGTTTATTAGCTGGAAATCTGTATTATAAAATATGCAAATAATACATTTTAAATCTTGTTAAAGTTGCATGCAAATTCAATTACTTAAATAATAAGCCTTCTTTAATAGTTACATATGGCTCGCATTGTATGCAACTTGCACTTCTTTTGTTTGCAGCTCCATTACATAATACGGTTTAAACTGAACCACTTCACGATTCCAGAATTTTCTGAGGGGTAACACGCATCATGTGACAAGAATACAGAATCAGCCTTTCATACAAACCTTTGACTGGAAAGTACGTGAGTGTGTAGGGAGCCACTGCAAAAAAAAATGGATTAAATAAACAAACAAACAAAAGAGGAACTGCAAAACACATGAACATGAAAACAGCCTAAAAAGGAAGTAATCAGGGGGAATGTATTGCAGCGATTGTAAAGGCAGATTTGCACGCTAGCTACATACTTTGTTTACTAGAATGCCCTGTCTTTTTCTGAATGCGCGAGCAATTAAGCATTACATAACGCTTTCATTCATGCAAATACAATAATGTAACCTATTTCAAAATAGTCATGCAAGGTCATGCTAAACCTTAGAAATATGAAGAACACATATTGCAGTTTCAAAACGTATCGTTCAGTTTGGCTATGCAGGCGTTGAATGGACTCGAGCAGATCTATTTAAATAGCTGCACATTATGTAATGCAGCTTAAGCTCCATCTTCTTCAGACACATTGTTGAGTGCAACGACGCCGTCAGTGATTTGTTATAGCAGCGCAAAACAATTATTTGCAAGCAACACACCCGACATAATGTAGATCATACGTACTTAAAGTGCATACGGTACTTACTTAATAAAGTGGGTAGTGAAGGCTGTTTCAGACCGTGCGTGAGCTGCTCCTGAAGTGCAGAACACAGAAGATCGCGCGACGCTCCTTTTATAAGCCTTGAAGTTTTTTTGATGAGTCATGCACGCAAAGCGCGTAGCTGGCAGCTGCAACAAAACTCATGACTGATTGCCAGTGGGTCATTTGTGATGTTATAGTACATGCAACTTTAAAAATAATTTTGATGCTGTTTAAGGAATAGCAGACATTTAGAAATATGTTTTGGTTAACCAAGCATCTGAACTTTTTATAAAGAAAATAAAGTAGGCTAAAGGTAGAAATCAAGCGAAATGTTAGTCAGTGAGGGACTAACAGTTAGCTTACATGATTTTGTCAACTGAAGATGAATTTTAATATTTTAATTTTATATTTTAATCATCTTGTGTTATCAAGTTTGTAATTTTATCAAAAATGACGGAATGTTTGAGGCAGGCAAATCAACTAATGCCTCAAAACATTACATGAACTTGATTTTAAAAATAGAAATAGTTCAACATTGTGTCATAATAAATGTCAGTTTGACCCAGTTTGCAAGGAATCCTTTAGCAACCACAACACATTTTCCTATTGAATCTGGCTTATGTGTTTTGCATGTCTTTTTAATAGTCTTACACACCAATAAATAAATAAATACATACATACATACATACATAAATAGAGGAAAAGAAAGCCAGCTCAGATGCAGGTCAGATAAGGTTGTTTATGAGTTCCGGGCAAGATGGCGTGTTGAACAGTCACTCGCGTCAGAGACGGATGTGATTTCTTGCTCAAAGGTCATGATGCAATGCATACACATTCTTGAAAATCATTTGCGCCTCATTAAGGAAGTGCTGAGAGTGAAAGTGAATCATTTATTCATAATTCTTATAGAAAAAGGTCACTTGAGTAAAGCTATTAAAACTGTCCTTATATAGTTGCCATTTTGGCATAATTTGATCAACTGTAGTTTCAAGTGTAAAACAGGGACCAGCATGCACTGTAACCTAGGCTACATGCATACAGTATCTAAATACACTATGTCTGCCTCATGCGTATATGTCTTCACACCTCAATCGGTCATTGGGAATTTGCTGTTGTTTCATAAGAACTGGTTCATCATGTTCAGCTCTCAATGTGGAGGTGAATACACGTGTAAAAGTGCAAAATCACCATTACACACCTGTTATACAGGCTATAGCTCAAATCTAGGAAACATGTAGATGTTGCTGTACGGTGTTGAAATACTCTGGATGAAAATAGACATCAGTGGTACCATTAAATGTTTATTGGAACAAAATGCATTGTATGTGCATATAAGTGTTGGTTTGGGTTGCAAGCACTTTGAAACTTGAACCTTTTAAATTCACCTATGAGCGGACCAGAACACATCCGCAGGATGTTTTAATAGGGGGCAAGGTCTTCATGCAGTTCCTGGAGATATTATCTTTTCCTGACTCTGAAGCGAGGTAAAGTATAACGTTATGTCGCTGGCCAATGAAAGTAGTGGTTATGCAACAGCATTTTACTGTTGAGAAATAACTCATTTAGTATTTGATCTATCTGGGATTCATTCATGTCACTCCAAGCAGCTGTACAGACAGAGAAGTGCAATAAAAAGTTGAATATTTACCAACATACCAACATTGTGTGTGATATTTTTAGTTAGAATTCTATGGATTTTTTCAATGGAAAATATATTTTTTTTTTACAAATTTGACTTTTTGAACTACAGACTTTTTCTCTCAGTTCTAAGAAAAAAGTCAGAATTGCAAGATATAAACTCAAAAATCTGAGAAGGAAAGTCTGAACTGTGAGACAAAAAGTTGCAATTTCCCTTTAAAAAACAATCAATTGCGAGATGTAATCTCTGAATTCTGACAAAAAAGACAGAATTGCAAGATATCGGATGTGGGATGTAATCTCAGAATTGCAGGAAAAAAGTCTGAATTATGAGTTTATATGTAGTTTATTGCAATTCTGAAAATTGTCCAAATTGTGAGATAAAAAGTCGCAATTACCTTTTTTTATTTTTATTTTATTTCTTCCAAAGTAACAGGTGTCCATATATTTGCAAGATGTAAACTCAGAATTGTGAGGAAAAAAAGTCAAAATTCTGAGTTGATATCTCATAATTCTGACCTTTTCCTCAGGATTCTGAGTCTAAATCTCGCAATATATCTTGCAAGTTTATATCTCACGATTCTGAGTTTACATGTCAAAATTCTTATTTTTTTTTCTCAGAATTATAAGAAAAATAGTCCAAATTGAGATAAAATGTTGCAGTTACCTTTTTTATTTTATTTTATTTTCTGTGGCAGAAACAGGCTTCCATAGGGTATAATATAATTTTCTAGAAAATCTTTAGTCGCGGGTCAAAACACCGCTCTTCCGTTCCGATCAAAACATCAAACAGGTTCTCCCCACTCAGTGACGCACCCGCTGAGAAACCTGATCAAAGTGCTCTAGTTATTGGCGATTCTATTGTACGGAACGTGAAAATAAAATCTATTATTTATTTCCAGGTTCTGATTTAAGGCATTGGCAGTCTAAAGTTAGTAAGATTGAACAACATGACAAGTCATGACATGACAACAGAGACAAAAAAATAGACTTTTAAAACTTTTAAAAACTCTGCATAAGTTGCATAAGTTTTCCCCTTTTTAGGGCACATCTAGACTACAGATATTCTCTCTAGACCTTGTTGTTTCTGCAAATGATTATATTAACCCTTATATTTACTTGATATATTATATAAAAAAACACATCTCTTCCATCCACAATTGACACTCTAACACTAGCATTCTCTATTCTATTTCTAATTGTTTTCTTTGTATTTATTACAAAACTAATAAATAAACAGACAAACAAATAAATAAATAAAAAACGTGACCCTCTAACTCTAGCACTCTCTATTCTATTTTATTTTATTCTATCTACTTGTTTTCTTTTTATTTATTAAAAACAATAAATAAATAAATAAATAAATTGACCCTCTAACACTAGCACTCTCTATTCTATTTTTATTCTATCTACTTGTTTTTCTTTTATTTATAAAAAAAAAACTATAAATAAATAACCTTGACCCTCTAACACTAGCGCTCTCTATTCCATTGCTCTCGTTTGCTGAAGCCCTAAGACTGGCAAGAGTGGCTTCCAAATCTTCAATACTTATCTTGCTGTCCGCTGCTTTTGACACGGTTAACCACCAGATCCTCCTGTCAACCCTATTGGCAAAGGGCATCTCAGGAATTGCACTCCAGTGGTTTGAGTCTTACCTCTCAGATAGGTCCTTCAAGGTCCAAGTCGCAACACCTAACTACTGGGGTGCCTCAGGACTCAGTACTTGGACCAATTCTCTTCTCTGTCTACATGGCATCACTAGGTTCTGTCATTCAGAAAGATGGCTTTTCATATCACTGCTATGCTGATGACACTCAACTCTACTTCTCATTCCATCCTAATGATCCGAAGATAGCTGCTCGCATCTCAGCTTGTCTAACAGACATTTCTTGCTGGATGAAAGACCATCACCTTTGTAAGGATGGTTTCCCTATGGTGGTTCAGGCTGTAGGATTGCCGAATGACTAAAGAAACGTTATCAGCACGATGGTATAAAACTACATTTCTAGTCTATTACCACCCACTGCCACTTATACCAACGACGGAAATAAGCGCAGTTAGAATAGCTAAATATGTGGGAGAGCGTTGCTATTGAGTGACTATTGTATTGCAATAGGTAGCACTTTAATATTAACCTTGAATCAAGACTAGTTAGCACATAATTAATAATTGAAATGGTTTAATAACAATATTTTGTTATGGTTACACTTGAATTGGTTACAAAATAGATGAAGGATGGTAAAACATAAACAATGAATTGTACCCAGCAATGTATGTAAAATATTACCTGAGAGAGAGAGAGAGAGGGCAGAGCCCCAAGAAGAGAGTCCCAGCAAAGAAAGAGAGAGCAAAGAAAAAGAGGTAGCAAAGGAAAGA